AGATGACATGGCCTTTCACCTGTGACCCGTCTCGAAAGGGTTAAGAAGTGGAATGTGCTTCATACCACCCAGTCACTACCCATATCAGGCCACCCTTCCAAACTATGCAGCCAGGTAAGCAGGAAACTGGTTAGGGATGCCACTGTGAAGCCAAAAGTGACTTTGAAAGATTTGCAAAGTTCATGTCTGAGGAGTCCGTGTTCAGACACTGAAAATACCCTGGTCTCTACACAAAGCTGGCCTGTATGGCGAATGGCAAGAAATAATAATTTTAAATCTCGTTTGGAGTTTACAACAAAGCTTGTAAATAATATTGCAGACATGTGGCAGAAGGTTTTATGGTCAGATGAGAAAAAATTGAGCTTTTTGGTCTAAATTCAAAAGAGTTACATCTGAAGCAAGCCAAACACAGCACATCATTCAGTCAACACCATCCCAACTGTCAAGCATGGTAGTGGCAGCATCATATTATGGGAATGCTTCTCATCAGCAGGGATTGGAAAGCTTGTCAGGATTGAGGGTAAGATGGATGGAGCAAAGTACAGGCAAATCCTTGAGGGGAAAATCTGCTGGAGTTGGCCAAGAATCTGAAACTGGGTCAAAAATTCACATTTCAGCAGGACAATGACTCAAAGCACAAGGCCAAAGCAACACTGGAGTGGTTTCTAAAGAAGAAAGAGAATGTCCTGGAGTGGCCCAGTCAAAGCCCTGACTTGAATCCAATGGAAAATTTATGATGAGACTTGACGATTGCAGTACATCAATGATCCCCAACAATCTTGTCAGAAATGAAGCAATTTTGCTGGAAAGAATGGATAAAAATTACACCATCTCATTGTTCAAAGCTGGTAGAGACCTATCCAAAAAGACTCACAGTATTATTTGCTGCCAAAGGTACTTCCACCAAGAACTGACTTAGGGGCCTGTATACTTATGCAATTAGCAAATTTCAATTTATTTATTTTCTTTGCAGTTTTTGCTGACATTCAACCTCCTTCATACATAACAGTGTTAAGTTTGATCATTAGAGTTTTGAATAAAAACAAGTTCATTTTACATTATTTGTATTTCATCACAATGTGACATTATTGGTAGGGGTGAATACTTTTGCAAGGAACTGTATGTTGTGCTTTATACATAATTTAGTATAGATTAATAATATT